GAGGCTTGCCGCATCGGGTGAGTGGCCCCTGGGTCAGGGGGGGCGTGTCCGGTTCAGGAAAACTCCCGGTTTGGGGACCCGAAACCGGGAAACAGCTCGCAGGCATGGAGCGTATTGTGAGCCTCTTGAGGGATGGATTTGAAGGCTGCTGCACGCCACCTCCGTCAGGAGTGGGGGCCGCTGGGGCCGGCGCAGTAGATGCTGGACCCTGCGACGGCTGCCCATGAGTGGCATGCGCAGCTTCAAGCTGCCTCAAGGCGTGGGATGCATGCTGAAGGAAGGACTCCATGGATAGAACAGGCGTGGCCTGGACAACGGGTGGCGCGGAGGATGATGTGGAGGTGGAGGCTGCCTGGACTGACGGCTTCTGCTCCAGTGCCTTTGGTTCGGCCTTTCCAGCCTTGCAATCTTTGACGCGATGCTCCTCAGAGCCACAATTTAGGCACTTCTTAAACCTTTCAGCCGCTGGCAGGTCGCTCATGGAGTGAGGGGCCTTGCGTTTCGCACCGAACTTGCACCCCTAGGCGTAAGAAAGTACTTGCACGGCTTACCCTTCCCCCCACCCTTAGCTTCACCCCCTTTTCCCCCCGACTTGCCCCCCGTAGCGTCAATGGCCTTCAGAGCGGCACTGTTGCCTGACCCACCCTTTTTGGCAATCTGTGCTCCAGCCATGGTTTCAAACTCGGCTAACAAGTGCTTGTGACACTCCTGAACCGCATCTTCCGAAGGGTGAGTCTCGATGTGCAACATGCTGCGAACCATCTGAGTTCGGAACATAGGGTCCGGATTTTGGCTTAGGATATGGTTGGTCATTTTGGTGAGGGCACCGGCAAGAACTGTAGGATCTGGAGCTACCATACCGCAGTCAATGCACTGCTTGTGCCACCTACCCCATGCCCTCAGCGCGGACACACCTGACACCACATCCTGGACAACATTGGGATTTTGCAGGTGATTCAACACCAACGCCTTTTCCGTGGAACCTCCAGGCTGATACAGCGTGTAAAGCCGAAACATGATTTGAGTGGCTACTTGAGTGGTCCTGCGAGCTACCATTTCCGCTTTTACCCCTTGATCTAAGGCTGCTAAAATCATGGTGCACGCACGCGCATTGACCCTGGACCACTTTCCCTCAACCAGCTCCGGGCGCTCGTCAACCTCTACCCTGATGCGATCGAGCGGAGTAGCCTTAACCCACCTTTCATATGCGTCACGGCTCACCTGCAGCACTGCGGTCCACCAATCATGCGAGGAATCGGACAAATCACCCATCAACCCTGCAACTAACTCCAACCAATCCTGAAAATCCAACGAACCACTCATCGGATCAGGGGCTTTCAGCATGGGAAGTGCAGTAGTGCCTGGCTTGACGCCTTCAGGGGCGTTACTAACAACACTCTTATCCCGCATGCCTTGCGCCTGCATGGTTTGAAGCTGCTGCATTCCTGCAAACAAGGCATCCATCATGGGATTGCCTGAGGTAGCTGCTGCACACGGCGTTGCACTTGCTGCAGGTGCTCCTCCTGGAGCTGCACTGGCCTGGGCAAGCGGCACCTGTGTACCTGCGCCTGAAACGTGTGGCACCTGTGCATAGGCAGCGGGTCCAACCCCTCCGGGTGGAGATGCGGGCACCTGTGCATCGGCAGCGGGTCCCACCCCTCCGGGTGGAGATGCGGGCACCTGTGTACCTTGCACCTGTGGCACCTGTGGCATTCCTGAGCCTTGAGGCCAGATCTGGCCCAGACCCAGGTTTTCGGCTTGAGAAGGGGGGTTTGGGGCAGACCAAATTCACCTGTGCTGCGTCGTAGGACTGCCCGACAGGTGGGGTTGCACTGCTGGGCAACCTTTGGGAGCCCTGCAACCCTGACTAGAAGTTGGACCAAAACCCAGATGCGGCTGCTTGCGGGGCACTGGTTGAAGCTGCCGCCTCCCTAGCCAACTGCTCCCTCATGGCCTTCTCCTGCTCTAGTTGCCTACTCAAACGCTGGATCTCAAGGTCCTGGGCCTGAGCCCTTTGATCAAACCCTGCCAACTGCCTAGCAACCTCGGCTTGAATTACTTCCTGAGGCAAAGATGATGAATCTGTTCGCGATTGAGGTCTTTCGGGTACATTACCGTACAGTAGGGGGGCCCTTTGTTCTAAAGCCTGCATGCGCTGCAGCATGTCAGCGTTCAGTAGCGGGCCCTCCCTTCCGGGGTGCGATGGTGCAAAGGACGTTGGCGTTCCTTGTGGCCCCACTTGGGGTGGTGACCCACTATTAGAACCCAAACTCCCATCTCCCAAAGCTAACTGCCCTGGTGCACCTCCCGGACTACTCGATGAGCGGGTAGCACTTCGTGGTGGCGTTGCGTGTGAGTCCTGCCACACCGGGACTTGCATGACCTCAGTGCGGGCAACTCTGAAAAAACCCCCAACCCTTGACATGAGCTGGAGCCCAGCCCCAGGGAAACCCTCAACCATTTCTGCAATAGTGGGCAAACCCTGTCCTTGCTGGGAGCGTGGGGTAAGGAACCCCTCAACATGGGAGTCCCCAGCGACTGCTCCACCTGGCGCTGCTTCACCACTCGCGGTGCACTGGCATGCCAGTGCTGGTCTGCGGACCTGGGCTCCCGCCCGGTGTGTTGCCGGGCACATGCACAATTTGGTGTGCGCTCTCACCACCCTCACTGGTGGTCGACATTGGTGGCACTTCCCCTGAACCTCGCGATGATTCATGCTGGCCTGTACCTCCCAATGCCCCTCCCGTAGCCGTATTAGGTTCAAGGCCCACTGCACCTGACTGGCCTGATTCACGTGGTGGCATTGAACCTGAGTGCTGCAAACCATCCCCTCCGGGAGGTGGAGATGGATGCGGTGGATTGGTGCCGTAGCCCTGCCCAAGCGTTGGGCTCATAACCTGCTGTGTGAACCAGCAGGCTGAGCAGAAGGAACTAGTGGAGTGATCAATTCCCTAGCCCCATTCCCAACCATGGCTCACACAATAGGCGGAGATCTTTTACGCGCAGAAGCAACAGATCAACAAAGGAACAAAAAGGTCTCGGCAGTGTAGGGCTACGGCTCCTACAGTATGATATGTACATGTTTAAATATGTGGCATGTTCAAGGCTTGAGTTTGGGCCTAGAAGCCACAAGGAAAAATGCGCACTGCAATTGACTACAGAATGACATGTACAGGACACTAAACCTTAAACCCTAAACCCTAAACCCTAAGCCCTAAGCCCTAAACCCTAAACCCTAAACCCTAAACCCTAAACCCTAAACCCTAAACCCTAAACCCTAAACCCTAAACCCTAAACCCCTAAACCCCTAAACCCCTAAATCCCTAAACCCCTAAACCCCTAAACCCCTAAACCCTACACCCTAAACCCTAAACCCTAAACCCTAAACCCTAAACCGCCAGAGTCTGTCATGCAGTTGCTTTGATTGGTTCGAGCCATCGTTTGATTCGTCGTTCCCTTCGTTCGTCGCCCGCCATGTCCTCCATTTACGAGGTCGGAGGGGCACCTCTCGGTTCTGTCGTAAAGCGTCGTGCATGCTTCCGGCCAGGTGATCCGTGCCGGCTCCGTGCGCGTGGATGGGGCAGCAGACCTGCTCGAAGAGTGCCAGAAGAAAGGCCGGGTTTCGTTCGAGTTCGGAATGGATCCGTAGGAATTTCTTGTGCAGGTTCGGCGCACTACGGTGACGGGTACCACCTCAATTCCCGGTCCCTGCCCGACTTGTACGCACACCTTGCCCCATACCTGCAGGACTGATTCCGAGTTACTTTTTTTTTCTTTTTGCTTCCCCGACAGGACGCTGCCGTTATTACCTCCGACTCGTGCCTCTGCTACGCGGAGAACGGCTGCAAGGACCTTTGAACCTGGTATTCACGTGTAGGGTTGCCGGATGACTTCGCCTGTCAGGACAAGCAGGGCAGCATCGCGAAGACGATGCTTGCCCCTGCGCATGTCGAGCCGCAATGGGGCACGGGTTTTAGGGGCATGGTCGAGGGCTGGGAGGCGGTGACCCTCCAGCCAGCCCCGGGGCGTGGGACGCTGGTGGTCGTTTGTGCAGGCTGGAGCGGTTATCTTGTCTTGTGCGCGAGCTCGTCCGATAGCCGATCCTGTCAGGCAACGACCTATACAGCCACCCCTAAACCCTAAACCCTAGACCCTGAACCCTGAACCCTGAACCTTGAACCTTGAACCCGAAACCCTGGACCCTCAACTCTAAACCCTAAACCCTAAACCCTGGACCCTGAACCCTAAACCCTAGACCCTAGACCCTAAACCCTAAACCCTAAACCCTAAACCCTAGACCCTAGACCCTAAACCCTAAACCCTAACCCCTAAACCCTAAACCCTAAACCCTGAAGACAAAATAAGCAGAAATTGTATGTGGTATCATTCTGAATTTCCCAAGTTGTTTGTCTAAACAGCTGACAAGCTGAGTTTAAGTTTTTAAATCTAAATCTGGAGGTCAAATGCTCCCCCTCCCCCTCCCCTCCCCCTCCCCCTCCCCCTCCCCCTCCCCCTCCCCCTCCCCCTCCCCCTCCCCTCCCCCTCTCCCCTCCCCTCCCCCTCCCCCTCTCCCCCCTCCCCCTCCCCCCCCTCCCCTCCCCCTCCCCTTCCCTGGCCTCTGGTGACAGTCCAGATTCAGAACGACGGCGCCGCATATCCATGGCCATAGACAACGACAGAATTTTTTCTTAACCCACAAGGAGCGCAATTTGGGCTCATAACCTACGAGGGGGCAACCAAAGGGGAACGGGGAAACCAACCAATCACCCCAACAGAAGCCCTGAATTTCACCCTGGACCAACCAACCAAAAACACAGCCAGAGACTTTTTCCTTGACAGGCACATGGCCATCTTGAGCCAAAACATTACGGGTGCATTGACCCTTTCAACATTCCTTGAAATACAAGCTCCGTCTCCGCACCCTAAACCCTAAAGCCTAAACCCTAAACCCTAAACCCTAAACCCGGGCTAAGGGGTTTTCAAAGACTGTCAGAACCCAGGATCTTGCAGGGAGCCTTCGCCAGCACCACTGTCAAGGCTCATGCACATGAGCCATGCAGCTACACAGGGCTACGCACCGTCCTTCATGCCCTGCCCGGGGATTCCGATCAGACAATGGCTCCGGATGTTTCACTGGCCTGGAAAGCGTCGGAGTTTAGCTTGGCGTTATTCAAAAGACCCCTTTGAAGTTCCATTCCTGAGGGTGTTCGCGGCTTTGGCAGACAGGCCATGCAGTACCAGATCATGTGGTACCAGTCTCTGGGCGGTTAAGAGAAGTATCTGTTGTCGCTGGTGCAGTTGCAGTATTTTTGTTTCTCCCTTGTTGGCGTCGCCGTTGTTGTCGTGCTCTCTGAAAATACTGAGACTTCGGAAGATTGTGTCTGGGAAGTTTAAATAAGCATGGGGAGATTGAAGAAGTTTGTAGAGTCATGGCTGTCGTTTGCGAAGCGCGATCCCACCTTTGTCAAAATGCAGCCTCGGGCCCAGACCTGCAAACCCTCAAGGCCCTTGGCTTGGGATGTTGCCCCTTATACTAACAGTCCTTAGTAAAGATTATAGTACCCCATACTATAAGCCCATTAAGGACTGTGAGAATACGTGGGAACATCCCAACACGTAACCTTGAACCCGAAACAAATCGCCAAGCAACGCTGTCGCCAACCCTTAAAGTCGAAGTGCCGAAGCCCTTTCCACGTTCACTGCCACGCTGTCGCTCGTGGCGAGGCTGTAAGTTCGCTACAAGCCGCCACAAGCCAAGGTATTTGGGCTTTAGCGACCTCGTGGCGTCCAGCATAGCATGTGCTGCTGCTTGACCGGGTGAAGGGTTTAAGGGTTGGAGGTTGGGGCCTGGAAGTGCGAAAGTGCATGTGCAAGGTACTTTGCGTCACGCACGAGATTCGTTTTTTTGATGTTTCGGTTGCAGGCGTATTTGTTTTCTCAGTTTCGGTCTGCTGAGCCCAGCAGAGGTGGCAATGGAACACAAATAAGTTGACTGCTAAGCGCCCGCCGTCAACATCTGTCAAATATCTGAACCCTAGCGCCTTTGGCCCGTGGTCTGCATCTACCATAGGAGCAGTTCACCTGCTGCGTTGTGGCTACAACCCTAAACCCTAAACCCTAAACCCTAAACCCTAAACCCTAAACCCTAAACCCTAAACCCTAAACCCTAAACCCTAAAACCTAAACCCTAAACCCTAAACCCTAAACCCTAAACCCTAAACCGCCTAAACCGCCTAAACCGCCTAAACCGCCTAAACCGCCTAAACCGCCTAAACCCTAAACCCTAAACCCTAAACCCTAAACCCTAAACCCTAAACCCTGCACCCTAAGCCCTAAACCCATGATTGCCCTGTGTGGATGAGTGTCAAGGCTCCGTTTGGCAGCATCTTTGGGTCGATCACGGCGGGCTTCATATCTGACTGGATGGCCAGGAACTATCCAAGGCCGAGGGCGATCTCCGGTTCTTTTTGAGTTCGCTTTCCGGGTGTTCGAGCTTTGGAACTCCGGGTGGAAGTGTGGTTCGAACGAGCACGAGACTGAGGTTGTGTGGTTGTTGCAGACTTTTGGCCTGGCATGGCCCGGCAGACTCAGCACTCTTACAAGCGCACCTGTGGGGCGAGCTTATCATATGGGGGGTTCGGGTAAGCAGACAAATTGGTTCCTTGGATGCTGCGGATTTCCCGTCAATTTGCCAAAGAGAGTCAGAGGAGGTCCCCACCGAGAAACGCGCGAGGCATGGCCGGATCACATACGGCCAGCTGATGGACTTTGTGAAAACGATCGTGCTCCTCTATACATTCGCTGCTTGGCACCGAAGCCGTCCAGAGCAGAGTGGACACACAGAGGCAACAAAGAGCCTTTTCTGGGAAGGTCATAGGCACCATCAGGCAGCATATCAGGCTTGGTGGTGTCGCGCTCAACCCTGCAGGTCAAGGTTTTTCACAGAATGTGATGATAACACTTTGACATTGACCTCACACCTTCGACCGCCCAAAGTCAAGGTTCTCAGCGACACTCCCAGGCCAAAGAACAGGGAAGGTCCGGGAAGTTTAAGGGGAAGTTGGGTTTAGGAATCCCAACGAAGTACACATCTCTTTTGCTTCTTCCCGAGTATGCCCCGCTAATTACAGTAGCGCCACAGCATCGCCATGATTGTCTCCTGTTTCAACCTCCAGAGACCCTCAACGGGGTTGTGGTAATCCGGGGTAAAGTCTGGGGACATCCCGGGAGATGTTTGAGCCTTTGAATGCGCACGGCATTTTGTAAAGTCTGCGCCGTTTAGGCAAAGCTCCCCGCTGTTACTGATCGTAAGCCGTACGCAGGCCGGATACGCCCAACGTCTTCATCACGAGGAGGGGTTCAGGGGTTGAGGGGTTGAGTATGTTGCCATTGTGGACGCGAGAGTCTGAGTCGGGGTACAGGGAACCAAGGTTCCGGGCCTCTACATGTTCCAAGTTTCTACGTAGCGCCGTTGTACAGAGGTCTTCCGAGGTTGCGGTGTTGAGCTGGTACAGTATGAGGTCCCCCGCAGCTGTCCCTGCTTTGAGGTCTCCGTGGGTGTAGCTTGTCGCGTTTGGTGGGAGTCCTAGCACCTTCCACAGTTGAAGAAGCTTCTCACATTGTCATGGAATCCTCTGTGTTTTGTGAAGTGTACGGATAGACGGCAAGAGGAGAAGTACCCTCGGCATTCTCGGATCACATTCTCCAGGACGGTGTTGAGCTTCTTCTTCGGCTTTTTCTCGATCATGGCATACTCAGCAGCGGCGGCCCCAAGCTTGTTTTGGAGAAGAAGATGGGCACTTGAGAGTGAATGTTGATGGCGCCTTTTTTTTTGGGGGGGGGGTTTTTGCTTGGTGAGTCTTTCTTGCCTCTCGGGCCTGGAAAAGAAGTGAATACTGAAATGAGTAGTAATACGAAATCTATAAATTCCAGCACGTCTTCCAAATTTGCAAGAAACATACGAGCATTGCCAACGGCACATGCGCAAGTTCCACCAATTGTTAGACTGTTACATTCTAGCTTCAAATCCCTCGCGCAAAATTAAAGCCGTCGCCAAAAATGTGTTCAGCATCGTCACTGCTCACTCATGTGCTTCCGTACCAGTCATTCCTAGGTCCATTCTAACGCTGACTTGGATGTCGATATCCAACAAGGTGGTCAAGCCGCTGTTTGCCGAAATCGTCCCGGCTCAGATGATCGCGCAGGTGCCTTGTGCTGGCCGAAGGAAGTTAGCGAAGAAAGGAAGATCACTCTTCCTGTGGTTTGTGCCTGCGATCCGAAGTCCTCAAGTCCTCTTCTTTCAGTACGAAGGGATTGAAAGTCTACGGGACCTCTTAGCAAATCTCAGTATAACCGGAACATCCGCAATCTTTCGAGACATGGCAAAGACTTCCCTCCCGTGGATGCAGGTCATCGCTCTTGCCGCGGCGATCGACGGGGGCTTCGCATCAATAGCATCGACGCTGCAGGGTTGAGACGTATTTCTTTGATGGCTTCATATGTTAGTATTCCAATTCTCCCCTCAATCAAGTGCTTCTCCGTCTCTGATTGCGACCTGCAACATGGCCCGTCTGCCTTGAAGGTGCAGTTTAGGAAGCCGCTGAAGTTGCTGTGGAAACCGTGGGAAAAGCAGATGTCCTCCTTTCATGTTGTTGCGAAGGCAAGCACTCCTGTCGTGGGCTTCATCACGCAGCACTTTTTTCACTACAAGAGGCCCCCCCTTTGCGTGCTGGCATGGCTGAAAGTCTTGCTCTGGGCGCACAATGTGACAAAAGAGACGTTTATTATATTGCAGAGATGTTTACCAGAACTGTTCCCAAGGCACAGCAGCACCGGAAAAATCCCCCCACGAGAACCATTCGAAGGCACCGAGTCTTTACCCCCCCCCCCCCTCAGAAAAATTCCCAACAACCCCGGAAAACCTCCCCACTCTCTTGTGTGACCATGTCTGACACCCTCTTGGGACGCCCTGAGACTTCAATTGCGCACGCTGCCCAAAACCCCGAGAGCCTGCGCTGCCAGCACCACGCTCCCCATCAAAGACATGCCGCTGGAGCTGCGCCAGGGAAACGCGAAGGCAACCGGAATTACAGTTCGGTTACCCAGAGGCTCCAAAACCTCTTAGTTAAGGAATATACCTTAACCTATTAATAGGAACCCTCATATGATTTAAGGTATATTCCTTAATTAAGGGGTTTTGGAGTCTCTGGGTAGAGCGGGTTTGCAAGGCGCCCGGCGCTGTGAAGATGTTTGTGATTTCTTGGGCTCGGGCTTGATGGTGCAGGCGAGTCTTTGGTACAGCTTTGCCCCCCTCCCGACCTGCTGCATAGTCCAAAAGCTCTTTGATCACCCGGCCTCCTTACGGAAAAGCCGAGACCCTCAATCCCTGCAGTCGGTACGTCTCAGGCACTGGGCCACTCAATCGCCTGGGTGACGCTCACGGGCTCAGTTGTGGCGCTTGTCGTCTTCAGCTCCTCAACTGAAGAACCAACAATTGTCGACTTCGGGCTTGGGACATGGAAGTTCGATGGGCCCATAACTGTGCTTTTTGCCCTCACCCCCACTTCAATTAAGAGCAGACTGCGCGCCGCAAGCATCCCCAAACATCGTCATTTTCTCAATTTTCTGAAGGTTTCTTGCACTTCACCTATCCCAAGGCCCGGTCGCGTCAGATCCTTTGTTCAGTTGTGTGCATCGGTAGGTCTGTGAGTATTTGCAAGGTACTTGTGCTTATATGATAACGGATGGTCATGTGAAGGGCCTCGGCATGATATCAATACTGAGTTTGCTTGTGCCCTGCAACCCCGCAGCGTGCTTGCAACCCCAAATCTGTTGTGCTTGAAGTCGTCTCGTGCTTCCCGCGGGCATGAGGGGCAAGCACTTAAAGTTTTGATCGCTTGGACTTTTGAATTCAGGCTACGGGTCATCTTGTGCGGTGGCAAGCTGCACTCTTTGAGACACATGTCTTGGAAAGCGGCGCTTGTCTCTCGCAGCGCTCAAATCTACCCACCCAAGTCTACGGTAGTCTTCCCCTAGTAAGTCTTGTTGTGGACAGCGAAAAGTGAGTCTCTGGCACGCTTGGGGCATTACTTTCCATGGTAGAACTGCAATAATGAGGTACACTTCCTCTGCTGATATTGCCGCATAGCTGCTGGTCTGGCTGAGCAACACCACTGAAGCATGAAGATCGACCTCTTCATGCCACCCCATTAAGTGTACAAGTGCTGTACTTGCGCTGCAGTTTGTCTATTGATTTGTCCCCCAGAACTTGAACATGGTTTTGGTATTGTTGTTGCACACTCGTTGCTAGGAATGAAACTGGCCATATACTCTTCTTAGGGTTGTGTCGCACAAACCGAGATTGCAGTCAAATCGCTGCGGAAGTGTGTAAAAGCCACGCCTTTGAGCCAAACCGATGAAAAGACGATGTTTTTCACAGCACTACTGCAGTCGTTCACGGCTGGTCAGGACCTCCGCATCTCCAGACGCGTCGAGGCGGACTCCTTGCCGGCTGTGGAGGCTGCGCATGACGGCTGTGAGTACCCTAAACCCTAAACCCTAAACCCTAAACCCTAAACCCTAAACCCTAAACCCTAAACCCTAAACCCTAAACCCTAAACCCTAAACCCTAAACCCTAAACCCTAAACCCTAACCCTAAACCTAAACCCGAAACCCTAAACCCTAAAACCCTAAACCCTAAACCCGAACCCTAAACCCTAAACCCTAAAACCGCTAACCCTAAACCCTAAAAACCCTAACCCTAAACCCTAAACCCTAAACCCTAAACCTAAACCCTAACCCTAACCCCTAAACTACCCTAAACCCTAAACCCTAAACCCTACACCCTAAACCTAACCCTAAACCCTAAAACCCTAAAAACCCTAAACCTAACCCTAAACCTAACCCAAACCCGAAACCCTAACCCAACAACCCTAAACCCTACCCTAAACCCTAAACCCTACACCCTACCCCTAAACATAACCCTAACCCGAAACCCTAACCCTAACCGCTCTTACCTATAGAATTAAACCCCTATTAGTCAGAAACGCGCCCGCCCGGTTGGGCACTCAAGGTGCTGGCCTTGTCCTGGCCCGCCGCGGGGGCGGCCCCTTGGGCCCTTGTTTTGGCCCCTTCCAGATCGACCGGCTGTTGGGCACTCAGGGTCTGGCCTTGTCCTGGCCCGCCGCGCGGGCGGCCTGGGCCTTGGTTTTTGGCCCGTCCAGATGGACCGGCCCCTTTGGCACTCAGGGTGGTCTGTCCTTGTCCTGGCCCGCGCGCGAGCGTCCCTTGCCTTGCCTCGCCTGGCCCGGCGCGGGCGGGCCCCCCCCCCTTGGCCTTTGGTTGGCCTTCCAAGCGAAACCGGCCTGTTGGCACTCAGGGGCGGGCCTTGTCCCTGGCCACCGGCCCTGTTGGGCACTAAGGGGGTCTGGCCTTGTCCTGGCCCGCGCGCGGGCGGGGCCTTGGTTTTGGCCCTTCCAGATCGACCGGCCCTGTTGGGCACTCAAGGGTCTGGCCTTGTCCTGGCCCGCGCGCGGGCGGCCTTGGCCTTGGTTTGGGCCCTTCCAGATCGACCGGCCCTGTTGGGCACTCAAGGGGGTCTGGCCTTGTCCTGGCCCGCGCGCGGGCGGCCTTGGCCTTTTGGCCCTTCCAGATCGACCGGCCCTGTTGGGCGCTCAAGGGTCTGGCCTTGTCCTGGCCCGCGCGCGGGCGGCCTTGGCCTTGGCCTTGGCCATTCCAGATCGACCGGCCCTGTTGGGCACTCAAGGGTCTGGCCTTGTCCTGGCCCGCGCGCGGGCGGCCTTGGTTTTGGCCCTTCCAGATCGACCGGCCCTGTTGGGCACTCAAGGGTCTGGCCTTGTCCTGGCCCGCGCGCGGGCGGCCTTGGCCTTGGTTTTGGCCCTTCCAGATCGACCGGCCCTGTTGGGCACTCAAGGGTCTGGCCTTGTCCTGGCCCGCGCGCGGGCGGCCTTGGCCTTGGTTTTGGCCCTTCCAGATCGACCGGCCCTGTTGGGCAGTGAAGGGTCTGGCCTTGTCCTGGTCCGCGCGCGCGCGGGCCTTGGCTTTTTCAAGGGTTTTTTCAGTGTTTTTTATGGTTTTTCAATGTTTTTCAGGGTCTTTCAGGGTTTTTAACCTTCAATTCTGATGAAGGGCCGCCCCCGCGACCTTTTCACAGCCTAATTCTGGTCAAGGGGGGTCGTATTTTTCAATTTTAAAGGCAAAATAGTCTTCTGAGACCCCCCCCTTGCCTCAAACTCCGACCCCTCCTTGAGAGGGAAAGTTTGCCTCCAAAAACACCCCAAATGAGGGGGACCCAGGATCGGCCCGGGTCCCAGGTAAAAATGCGATTTTTTGGTACTGAAATCGACGGTTCTGGGTGGCCTCTCGTTTTCTGGATTTTTGACCAAACCGAGCCTTCACCGGCTTCAGAATTTCAAGTTTTTCACGGTTTGTCAGGGTTTTTCAGAATTTTTCAGTGTTTTTTAAGGTTTTTCAATGTTTTTCAGGATGTTTCAGGGTTTGCAACCCTCAATTCTGATGAGGGGCCGCCCCCGTGACCTTTTCACAACCTAATTTTGGTCAAGGGGGGGTCGTATTTTTCAATTTTAAAGGCAAAATGGTCTTCTGAGACCCCCCCTTAACTTAAAACTCCGACCCCTCCTTGAGAGGGAAAGTTTGCCTCCAAAAACACCCCAAATGAGGGGGACCCCAGGATCGGCCCGGGTCCCAGGTAAACATGCGATTTTTTAGTACTGAAATCGACGGCTCTGGGTGGTCTCTCGTTTTCTGGATTTTTGACCAAAACCGAGCCTTCACCGGCTTCAGGATTTCAAGTCCCGCCCCTCTATGGGGGCCGATGAAATGGTTCGTGGGTAGGAGGACAGGGCTTGCTGATGAGAAATGTAAACTTTTTATTTTCTTAATGTTTTGGGATTCTCTGGGTGGGTGGGTTTTTTTCCGTTGCCTACACACACTGCTGGCCTAGTAAATGCTCGAACTTGAGATGCTGAACCCTAAACCCTAAACCCTAAACCCTAAACCCTCAACCCTCAACCCTCAACCCTCAACCCTCAACCCAAAACCCTCAACCCTCAATCCTCAACCTTAAACCCTAAACCGTAAACCCTAATCCCTAAACCCTAGACCCTAGACTCTAAACCCCAAACCCTAAACCCAATGGGTCCATGAACCCCCTCACAGGACGGCGACTCCTCCGATGCCGTTGATGAGGAGGCCGGGGTCTGCGGGAAGGCATTTATGTTTTTTTCGGAAGCCGAACTTCCAGCCAAAGCCGCTTTTCATAGCTTCCTTCGCAATGCCTAGAGCCCAGCGCCCGGAGAGAGTAGAGTGGCTAGATGTTGTAAGGCTGCTACAGGGACGTTAAACGCGCTGCCATCCTTCAGGGAGGCCTCACAAGCCAGCCGCCGTCGCAGCCGAAGATGGTGAAGAAGGCCATCGGTGCAGGAACTTCGCCTGGCTCATAGCTTCGGATGGCGGATGTGAGATGGTGATTCGGGCTTCATGTTGTTTGGAGAGGGTCCCAGGTACGTAGCCGATGTCTGAAATCATGAGTAGCGACTTGCAAATCTGCCCCCCCACCCCATAGACAAGGCAATGGCCTTCCTAAGCCTGAGAGTTCTTCGAGCCGCCAAGCCCAAGCATCTAGAGAACAAGCAGGTCTCCTTTGATCTTGGGGCACAAAGACGGAGTTCATGCGCCTGTGGTTGCATGGCGTTGCAGGATTCAGCTGTTTTCTCAAGCAGAGGATCCGGAAGTCTCAAAGATTTAAGGTGTTGAGGTCGAGGTTCATGATGCTTGATGACTCCCTGGTGCTGTGGAAGCATCCGCCGCGTCAGCCAACATGCCTGTGAAGGCTTGCGTAGTCCTTGGCGCAGCCATGTGCAGCCACAACACACTCGCAAGATGGAAAGGGAACCCTTCCGTGCAGTCTGCCAGGGCTCCCAAGTTTTCTGTATACCCCCAAGGATACCCTTCGTCATGGTTTGGAAACAGACCAGTCGCCTATCTGATCCCAGGGGGGAGAATGGTTAGCGTTGCCCTGAAACAAAGCCCGCAGATTCGACAACGGGGATGTTGCTTCTACCCTACTCATGGCCGCTGATCGCCCAGTCCCCGTCAAGTATAGAACATGTATCCCACAAACTTCATGATCACGAAGAATAAAAGAATGCTAATCCGACAGCACCGGCCGACAACTTCACATGCCAAGTACTGAGACTTCGTTTCGCGCTCCGCAGGTTCTGGCTGAGCCACGGAATTCGAGTTTCTCAAGCCTGGGCACTTCTATTGGCACTTCTATTGACACATCTCAAGTCGGCCTATGTTTAGGCAAATGGCCTGGGCTTGAGAAGTGCGATCTAGCACTGACAAGTCTCTGCAGAGCAGCAAGCCATGTCTGTGTCTTCTACTCCTTGCGATCTTATGCGGCAGTTCAATGTCGGGCTATGTCACGATGCAGTGCACCGTTCATATCAGGTTGTAGGGCATCGCTCACGTCACGGGGTCGGAGCGTAAGTCGGATGTATGCACTGTCAATTTGAACTCCCTGGTCAGACATCCCAGACTGGTGCGCCCTTTCGGATGCGACGGGTGGCGAGCCCAAAAGATAGCACTACAAGTGTCCGGCTCCTCCTCCGAATATATTTGACGAATTGTATCATAAGATCAAATCAGATCAATCGTTCCTATCTCACAATTTCATTCTTTTCTTTCT